GGAACAGCCTTAGTGGATGCATCCCGACAGCAGAGAACCCAAAGCACAGGTGCTTCACGAACAGCCGTTTCACGTGCAGACATGAGGTGAGGGCTGGGGCGGCAGGTCTTAAGGGAGTGTAATGCTCTCAGCAAAGGTTTGGATGTATCTTTTGGAACAGAGACGAAAGGAAGGGTTTGGTCTCCCAAGGCTAGGGCTCTGACCCTAGACGCCCAAACCAGGAGGGTGGGGAGCCAGGGGAGTATCTGAAAAGAAAACAAGGAAGGAAAACAGGATTGAACCACCTTTTGGAACAAGAAAATGCGGCTTCGTAAGGGATGGGCCAGCCCTGGCCAGTGTGTCTCAGTTGGGCGTGGTTCCAAAACGTGAAAGGTCGCCAGCTGGGTTCCTAATTTTGCCTCTTAGGAGCATGTTATCTTTTGAGTCTCAACTTTATCATCTGTCTAATGGGCATAATGACATCACACTTATTACCTCGCACAGTTCTTAAAAGATCAATTAAGCTCATATATGTGAAAGTAATTTCCAAACTAAACAATGCTATGCAAATATAAATTATTATTGTTGATCTAGCCCGGTACTTGATCTTTCATTACCTTCCTGGCTCTATGAGTTTGGACAAGTCACTACAGGAAGAAACATAGGGAACAGGGCTTGCCTATCATCTTGGGCAGTGACTATGGCTCCACTGGGCTGTGGGTCTCACGGACCTCTGACCTTAGTGAGGAAGCATGGGCACTCTGCCCCAGGGGCGGGGAGGGTCTGGGCCTTCATTACTCATCACCCCCACTCCTTTGACCCCAGCCCAGCCAGCAGCAAGTAAGCTGACAGCTCAAGAAAGCTTTAGGTGTATCTTCTTCCATGGATAAGGGAAGTTTAGCAGCCAGTAAGTCAGGGCTTCACAAAACAAAACAACCAAACAAAACCAAAGCAAATCCATCCTGGCACAACTTTCCCGATAAAAAATCTTTTCTAAAATTTCCAACAGACTAAACCTATATTGTTAGGGCCTCTTCTAGACCAAACAAAAAAGGGATGCAAACCCCACTGGCCTCAGTCACAGGGGTCTTATTTATTGTAGTGTGGCCTGCAGGAGGGAGGGGCCCGTGGAGGCCTGGCATCAAGTCCAAGGGTGCCCTGATCCGGAAGGCCTCACAGCTTGCAGCCTGAGTGGGGAAGGGCAGCCGTCCAGGAGGAGAAGACTGGTGTTCATAGGCCACTCCAGGGACAGCAGGAGCCGATTCCACCTTTTCTGGTCTTCCCTGAGAGGGAAGGAGGAAGTAGGAGGGGAAAGAGGAGGAGTAGGAAGAGGCCCGAGAGCTAGGAAGGGGAAAGCCAAAAGAAGGGTTTAAATAAAGTGAGAGAGGAAATGAGAAGAAGTGAGGTGGGTGAGAGCTCGACCAGCAAAGAGGCTAAGGGCCAAGTAGCCATTTGCCCACAGAAGGCCTGGACTCCCGGCCCGCGGCCCCTCCTCCGCATTGCCCACTCCTCTCCATTCCTCACCCTCTGGGAGAAGGGCCTTGCGAGCAGGGCCTGCCTTCCTTGGCAGCAGACAAAAGGCTATTTCTGAACTACACAGAAAATGTGTTACTTTGCCAGAGGGCCTGGTAGAGGCCGCCTGGTCCAATCCTGGGCCAAGGAGAGCCTTGGTGGAGGGGGGCTGTCAGTCACTGGGAACCCTCCGTGAAAGGGGCCCCTTGTCAACTTCCCCTGCCTTTGAAGTGACTGGGATGGAGGTGCTCAATTAAAAGCCCATCAGTCTGTAAGTAAATCAACGCCTATCAGGCTTGTCACATCAAACAAACGATTATTATCCCAGCCCGCCCACCCCATTAATCTGGCTGTTCCTTCTTGACGGCTCAGGGTCAGGGCACTGTAAATCCTGAACTGGATTCTAGCCACCTGGATCGGGATGAAAGTGCTGGCGCAGTGAGCAGGGGCTGCACTCAGGCCTTTCCCGGAGTCCTCGGGAGGATGCGGGAGGAGGCCCCCTGGGACAGAGACAGCAAGTGACACATGGAGACAAGGCCACGTGAAGAGGTCTGTGACCGGGCAGAGGCACAAGAGATAGAGACAGAGAAAAAAGAGGTGGAGAGAGCCTGAGAAAGAGACCAAAAGAGAAATAACCGGAAGAGGAGCCCCAAAGTGGCTGAGACAGGTGCCATAAAAAGCAGCCAGAATGTGAAGAATGAGTAGATGCTGCTAGAAGACAGCCAGGTGTCTGGGTGAAATTTCTTGGACTTTGGGTTCTGAGCCTGAGTCAGAGAGTGATCAAGGTTATGCTGCGGTTTCCTCAGCCCTCCTCACATCCCCACGGCAGCCCCCAAATGTCCCTTGACCAAGGGAATGGTGGTGGGGAGGGCCTAGAAACTCAGGACTTTGCTAAGTGATGCCCCGCGTTGGACACCGAAATGTGTGAGGGCTATACCTTCATTTTTTGCAATAAAAAAGGTTATGAACAGACAAACTGGGCTGGAATGTCAGGTTCTGATACTCTGCTGAGTGTATCCCTAATAAACACTTTGTTCCTGGTTGGTTCTCCTAGCCCTGTGGGTTGCTTTGTAGGTTCTTTCTGCTCTGGAGCTGAAGCTCTGGCTTTCATCTACTGCAGACCAGAAAGAAAGGCAGGGTAGGGAGAAAGCCATATTCTAGGCTTGAAGGAGGGCTCGGGTAGGAGGTGAAGGGTGGGGAGGAGGCAGGAAAAAGGTCCAGCATCCAGCTTGGAAGAACAAGGCATGCTTTTTGAGGGCAAGAAAGAATAGCTTTTTTCCCACATGGCTGTTCCAGAAGTGCCCCAGGGCATAGCTCATTCTGACTCATGCTGCTTCATTTTTAACAAGGGCCATCACATGTCTCCCTCATTGCTAGGGGACTAATTCTGGAAAGAAAACAAGAGACCGAAGTGGAGTAGGGGAAACTGAGGAAGGAAACTTCTCATTCTCACTTCCAGCCTGGAAGCTTGTGGTGACTTCTCACTAAATAAAGGGAGAAAATTCTAAAGAATGAAACTGGACCTTTATCTTATACCATACCCAGAAATCAACTCAAAACGGACGAAAGGCTTGAATGTGTGACTTGAAACAGTAAGTCTTCTAGGAAAAAAACATAGCTCCTTGACATCAGTCTTGGCAATGGATTTCTAGACCACACACACACACACACACACACACACACACACACACACACCAAGTGGGACTACTTCAAACTAAAAGTTTCTGCACAGCAAAGAAAAAGCACCAATAAAATGAAAAGGCAACCTGTAGAATAGGAGAAAATGTTAGCAAATCTTATATTGGACAAGGGGTTGATATCCAAATATATATGGAATTCACATAACTCAATAGCAAAAAAATCGAACTGATTAAAGAATGGGCAGAAGAACTGAATAGGCAGTTTCTCAAAGAAGACAGACGAATGACCAACAGGTTCAGGAAAAGTGCTCAACGTTACAAATCGTAAGGGAAGTGCAAATCAAAACTGCGGTGAGATATTATTACCTCACGCCCTTCGTTATAATGGTCATCATGAAAAAGACAAGAGGTAACAAGTGTTATCGACGATGTGGAGAAGGCAGAACCCTCGTACACTGTTGGTGGAAATGTAAATTGGTACAGCGACTGTGGAAAACAATATGGTTTCTCAACAATTAAAAATAGAACCACCGTATGATCCAGCAATTCCACTTCTGGGAATATGTCCAAGGGAAACGAAAACAGGATCTTGAAGAGATATCTCCGCACTGTTGTTCATTGCAGCCCTCTCCACAGCAGTCAAGATGAGAAAACAACCTAAGTGTCCACCAGCAGATGAATGGCTGAGAAGATGTTCTTTCTATCTATCTATCTATCTATCTATCTGTCTATCTATCTATCTATCTATCTACCTATCTATCCATCCATCCATCTATCTATCTATCTATCTATCTATCTATCTATCTATCTATCTATCTATCTATCTATCTATCTATCTATCTATCCTATTGAGCTGTGAGAAGGAGGGACATCCTGCCTCTTGTGAGAACATGAATGGAACTTGAGGGCATCATGCTAAGTGAAATGAGCGAGACAGAGAGAGATAAATATTTTACATTATCACTTATATGTGGAATCTAAAAAAGCTGAACTCAGAATGGTGGTTACCAGAAGTTGAGGAGAAGGGGGAAAGTGGGAGACATTGGTCAGAATATAAGCTTCTAGTTATAAGATGAATCAGTTCTGGGGTCATAATGTATAATAGGGTGATTATAGGTATCAATACTGTATTATATAGGAGTAGGGACTCTCTCAAAACCCAGAATTATCTTCTGGAGAGCATGTTCCTTGTAGTACAGGCTTTCCTGACTGGGTGAAAGTTCTAGGAACCCATCAGCAACTGTACCAGCTGGTGGTATTGTGAGAGGCTGTGTTCGGCTTCTGTGAATTTTTTTGAAGACTTAAGGCATTTGCCAGTTTCATGATGGGTGATTTACGAGCACACCTGCCCACACAACACTAGGTGTTCAGCAGATTTTGACCAAAGATGGCATGACCCTTGTACCCCACCCTCTCTGTTCACCTGATCTCACCCTTAGCAGCTTTTTTTGTTACCTTAGATGAGAAAAGCTCTCAAAGGAAAACATTCAGTTGATGTGGAAGAGGTGAAACAAAAACAGCCTAAGCACTAAAAGGCACCCAAATCAGCAAGTTCAAAAACTGTTTTGAGCAATGAAAAAATGGAGAGTACTTTGGAGGTGACTGAAGTTTAACCATGTAAGAATAAATACACAATTTTTTATAAATAAATTCGAGTTTTTTCTGGGCTCCCCCTTATATTTGAAAGTTGCTAAGATAGTAGATCTTAAAGTTTCTCACCACAAACACACACAAAGTGGTAATTATGTGACGAGGTAGAGGCTTTGGCTAACACTATCATGATACTCATTTTGCAATATATAAATGTATCACATTAACATATGCCTTATATTGTACAAGGTCAATGATATCTAAATAAAGCTGGACTAAAAAGAAAATTTTGAAGGTACGTGAGGCCTCCTCTACTGTGCGATAAGAACTGCTTGCTGCGACCTGGACACAGGCCACACCAGCACTGCCACCTGCACAGCCACCGCAGGGCATTTCCTCTGGCCAGCGGTCCCTTGCTCTGTTGTCCACTGCTCCACTCCATCTTCAAGAGCCAGAGTGCAGCAGGAGTCTCTCACTCCTCTGCTGGACGGACGTGTTGACTCAGCCCGTGCAGTGAGGCCGTGCACAGGGATGAATGGTACACAGACACTTCACACGGTAGGAGAATTATCTGTCTTCATACTTTCATTCATTCAACCAAATTTGGTGTTTAGGATGCACCGACTTACAGGTGTTTAGTGTTTACAACTTACAGGCCTTTTCTTAAGGCCTGGGGACACAGCAATGAATGTGATGGGCAAGGGTAAGGGGTATGTGGAAGCTTTTATGAAGAACTGGGGTGTTTGACCTCATCTGTGTTTTATGTGTCTTGTACGCACTCATCACCCAGATATTTGCTAAGTACCTACTATGTTCAAGTAATGTGCACCAGAGGGAGGCAAGGAAGAATCAGAAACAAAGCCTGTTCTCCTGGAGGGGAGGTGAGGTGAAGGTCATGGTAAATTGAATGCATCGTGTAAAGCAGTCAGTGCCATATACCAGGAAAGGACTGGGGACCGTGTAGAGAGAACAGATAATTTATTTATCCAGGTCGCTTCTTTCTTAGTGAATGTCTGGAATGAAGAAATGTGTTAACTGTTCAATCATGGCAACTTTTTAATCTTCTCTGTAATATAGCACAGTGTGGGCTTAATGTTTCTTGTTATTGTTACTGGCAGTAATGACAATGTGATTCATTGTCATTGTAATTACAGACACATCACGACATTCCTCTCTATGAGGCAGGTATTAGAAAACTCTGGAACTCCATTTCAGGCCTTGTCAGGAGTCTGGGATGGTTGAGAACTTCCAGAAATCATAGATGTGTCTCTTACCAGAGACAGAGTGGTGCAGAGGTTAAGTGAGTAGGCTCTGAAACCAGACTGTAATTCAAAACCAGCCTCAAATACTGCCTCTGCTGCTTGCCTGCTGGGAGGCCATGAAATCACTTTGGCTCCCTGCGTGCGCTTCCCCAGCTGTTAAATTGGGGCGATAACGGCACTAGCCTCATAGGGTTGTATGGCAATTAAATGCATGTAAGGTATGCACAACAGTGCCCCAAACACAGCATATCTGCCACAATGTCTGTCATTATTGTTGTTCTACCTCGTCTGAAGTGGCCTCTTGAAGGTACAATCAGCAGAATGCTAGGACACATTCAATTAGTGCGGTTGTCTTCCTGTATTTAAATATCACTGAAAGTCTTTTAAGTTAGTTTTACTTTAAAAATTCTTTCCAAGTTCAGCACATGGGTTTTAAGTATTTGAATAATTTGTTTTTATGAAAGTATTGTTTATCATCATTTATGGTTATAATGTAATATTTGATACATATAAGAGTGTAGGTACTCCACGGATCATGTATCAAATTTACAGCACCCCTGGGCTCTTTTCCCTTCTTCTGGCCTTCACTCCAGAAGTGACCACTATGCTGAATTTTGTATTTGTTACTCTTTTGCTTTCAAAAAACTTTTTTTAAAATTAAAGCGTACCATGCAAACCAGTAAAATGCACAAATTTTAAGTGTGCAACTTAACTGATTTTTACAAAGTATACATTTATGCAACCACACCTAAATCAAGATATGGAATACCATTTGTCCTCCAGAAGCTTCCCTCAGACCCCTGTCCAGCACATTCCTCCCCCACCCCCACTGCAGGGTAGCCACCGTTCTGACTTGGATCACCATCGGTCGCTTTGGGAGTTATTAAGTATGTATTCTCGTGTCTGCCTTCTTTCACTCAGCATTATATCTGCGAGGTTCATCTATGTTGTCATGTACATTAGCAGCCCTTTCTTCATGGTTGAGTGGTATTCCATTGTGTGCATCAGTCACACCATTTATTCATTCCTTCTACTGTCAATGGACATTTGTGTTGTGTCTGTATTTGGCTGTTGTAAGTAAAGCGTGAACTTGCCCGTACATGGTTTTTTGTGCACATACGCACTCTTATCCGTTGGGTGTAACGGGTGTAATTGTGTTACAGTGCATGCACGTGTTATGTGGACAATTCCCAATGATTTTCCAAAGCAGTTGTACTAACTGACTTACAGGTCCAGCAGTAGTGTGCGGAAGTTCTAGCTGCTCCACAGTCATACCAACACTTGATATTGTTTGTGTGTGTGTGTGTGTGTGTGTGTGTTTTCTTCTTCTTTTATTGTTGTTCAATGACAGGTGTCCCCATTTTCCTCCATTAGTCTCCCCTTTCCTACTCACCTCCATTTCCCACATTCAATCCTCCTTGCCATTGTCTTTGTCCACGGCAATATTGTCAATTAACTTCTTTTTAGGCATCCTAGCTATTTCTTTTTGTCTCTATTTTAGTTGCATACAGTAATTTTTCACATCATTCTCATTGCCATTCTATTCAAAACATTTCCTTATGTGTTGCAAATCCCTTCTTCCATTTTGTGACTTGTTTTTGTCTTTATTAACAGGGTTCGTGTTGTTGTCGGCTAGAAGCTTGATATTTACTCATTTTTTAATTCTCACCTGAGAATATGTTTATTGACTTTAGAGAGAGAAGGAGAGTGAGTGAGAGAGACAGGCAGAGAGAGAGACGGATGTGAGAGAGAAACACTGGTCAGTTGCCTCCTGCATGGTCCCCAACTGGCCACTGGACATGCAACCCTGGCATGTGCTCTGACAGTGAGTTGAACCCACAACCTTTCGGGGCACAGGACTAGGCTCCAGTCAATGGAGCCACCTGACCAAGGCTAGCAGGTTGATATTTCATGTAATTTTCTTTTTACTTTGATTTATGGGTGATTTAGAAAAGTATATTTCTTAATTTTCTGATTGTTTGGGGATTTCTCTCTTGCTCAATTTCACTATCTTCAGAGAATATACTCTGAATGATTACAGATTTAAAAAATATGCTCAGGGAGATAAGTTAAAAATCTCCAACTGTAATTATAGATCTGTGTTTTTCTCCCTTAGTTCTGTCAGCTTTTGCTTTATATATTTTGAAGCTATGTTATTGTGTGCATACAAATTTAGAATTGTTATATTTTTCGATTGAATCTACCCCTTTATCATTAGAAAATACCATTCAGTAAAACTGCTCACTTTAAAGTTTACTTTGTTTGATATTTGTCTAGATACATCACCTTTCTTTTGATTAATGTTTGCTTAGTATGCCTTTTTCCATTCATCCTCGTAGTCCCAACCTTTTCCAGTTATCTATTGCTTATACCAAACCAGCCTAAAACATAGTGGCATAAACCAAAAGCCATTTTGTCCCACTTATGTTTTGTGGGTCAGGAATTTGGACAGAGCATAAAAAGGATGGCTTCTCTCTGTTTGGTGTCTTGGCTGAAAATGTTTGAATGGTTGGGGTCTGGAATCATCTGACGACTTTTTCACTCGCATGCCTGGTACCTGGACCATGAGGTTGAGACTGGGCTCAGCCAGGACTCTTGGTTGGAGTGCGTGCCCATGGCTTTTCCAGGAAGCCTGGGCCTCCTCCCAGCATGGCTACCTCAAGGCCGTCACACTTCTTACAAAGTGGCTTAAACACCCAAGGTTGAATGTTTCACTGAACAAGGTAGTACCATCGTTTTATGCAGTAAGCATTAATTTATGCTTATCCATATAGTTTACTTTCGTGACAGTTTTTCTTCCTTTGCGTTACTGTGTTTCCATCTCAGATTATTTATTTTCTGCCTGAAAAATTCCTTTCAATGTTTCTTTTAGTGCAAATACACTGGTGATAAATTTGCTCAGTCTTTATTTGCTTGACAATGCCTTTATTATATTTTCAATTTTTAAGGATATTTTCACTGAGTATAAAATTTTAGGTTGACAATTATTTTCTTTCAGCACCTAAAAGTTACCTTTAACTGTCTTCTGGTTTCCATTTTTTCTACTGCTTAGCTGTCAGTTTTACTCTTGCTCTTTTGAAAACCATGTGGGTTCTCCCCTCTGGCTGCTTTTAATATTTTTTTCCTTGTCTTTGGTTTTCAGCAGGGTTTTTTTAATGGGATTAACTAGCTGTGGTCTTTTTGGTATTTATCTTGGACGAGGTTTGTAGAAATTCTGTATTCTGTGCCTCGTTGTCTTTCATAATGTTTGGAAAATTCTCAAGTAATATATTTCTTCAAAAATTACTTCTATCTGATTATCACTCTTTTCTCTATCAGGGACTCAAACTACAAGTATGTTGGGTGTTTTTACCATGTTTCTGAATCTCCTGTGCTCTTTTCCCTGCTGTTTTTTATTCTTTTGTGCTTTACTATCCTCTCTTTGGCTACTACTAATCTGTTTTTTTAACTTCTCTGTCTCATTCTTAACTTCAGTAATTTTGTGTTTTAGTTCTAAGATTTTCATTTGACTATTTTATTAACAGGTTCCAGTTCTTTGATAAAATCCTCTGTCATTTTCTTTATTTTCTTGAGCACAGTAATAATAGTTATTTGAAAGTCCCTGCTTGATATTTTCAATATTTGCATTACTTCTTTTTCTGTCATGGGTTTTTTCCTCTTAAGTTTGAATCATTTGATTCTATTTCTTGGCACGCCAGGTAATTATATTTCTAAGATTCATCTACATTATTGTAAGTTGCTGTAATTCATCTATTTTCATTAATTTATAATATTTCACAATGTCTTGTTGATGGTCAGGTGGTTTGTTCAATCTTGAAAAAAAATCACTTATTTTAAACTTCTTAAAATCATTTAAAGTAATTAATTCTGTGGTTATTCCGAGCCCGGAGGGCAAGCCAGTACAATGTGTTTGGACCACACTGACAAAGGGCCATTTAATGATGTAAGAACTAGAATGTGCTCTGAATACTATTAGAATTCAAAGTTATTTATTTGCAGTTGCTTCGGCCATGTGTGTGGGTAGGTGGCTTTCCACTGGGGACATAAAACTCGGGAGCTGGACTGAAACAGCTCATTCTCTGTGGAGTGAGAGATGGAGGCAGCATGTTTTATTTAGTCATTTTCTTGAAGAAGCCATGAATGAGATTAGAATAAAAACTCAGGAAGCTGGTGCTCATGCACGCTTCCGGTCTCCCGGGAAACAGTTCCACCTCCAAAACCTGTGCGCATCATCTGAAGTCCATGAGATGATGATTCAAAGTGGCTGAGCGTCCCTGGCTGTGGTGGGGGCACATG